AACTGTAAAGTGCCTTGAGATGACATGTGTTGTGAATTTGGCGCTATATAAATAAACTGAATTGAAAAATTGAATTGAAGTTATGGAGCTGCTGCCTGACCGTGTACAGAGGGGAAGAATCAGGTAGAAGAAAATACACCCTTGGAACATAATAGGAAAAGATTTATGAAATGTAAGAATACAGCTCCAATTTTCTCGGAAATATCTTTAAAAAACAATAATATTTGCGGCCAACGACGTAGGAGGCTGATTCAAGCACCCCCTCTAACCTGTCCCCCCCATCCCCGTTGGCGGGCGTGCCTAAATAAATCTATTTATCTACACTAATATAGTCTTCATTTCAAGTTTAAGAGTTTATTAACTTTTCCTTTTATGATACTGGTTTTTGATGCACTTGATTTTTATCTTTAAATATAAGCTGAAATATGAACAAGGATGTAAAATTCTCATCTAAAATGTTTTATTCATATAAATGTTTACAAAATAACTGAAACACCATTTTGGCCTCATCTGTATTTTTTATTCATGAGGGCTGCTTGTGTGAGCAGCAATACCAAAAAAATGCTCCTCATTAAGTTATGTTCATTTTAAAGGTCACACTAACTATTACAAATCAGCTGTTCACAGTTTATAAAAAGGAACACCTAACTTGCTAAGTGAGAGAATAGGTGTCCTCCATGTGGATGCACTCCGGAATAAGGAATAGTTAGAGAACAATCCATAATTGCCTCTCACTAGTCTTTGGGCCAGCGTTTAGTTATTTCATAATCCTTCCTCCCTGAGATCAAATAGCAGAAATTAGATGACAATAAGTAAATACTACAAAGGAATTATTAGGTAAACTACATGGAGTGGTCTGACATGTCATTGTTTCTGGACTGCATTTAAAAAATCTCAATTTTCACAAATGCACATATATGATTCAGACAGGACAAGATTCACCAAGGTATTTGTGGTCCATAAACAATTATAAGTGAAATTACAAAGCGGTGAATCATGTGAATTGTGCCTTGCGTCTGTGGATCTTGTCATGTGCATGATCCACAGAGGATCTGATGTGACTCTTTCTCTTATTATTTCATTCCATATTGCCAGAATTGGTATCCCCTTCCACTCCGCACATCCAGCAAAGGAATATACACACTCTTAAGTTTAGGATTTGACACTAGGCTTGAGCTTCTTCAACAATAATGTTTGCTCTACATTTTATAGGGCTGTCTGTTTCTGCTTTAATTTGTCCCCCCTGTCTAAATCGGACGCAAAGAGTCCCAGCTTTTTCCTTTTTCAGCTTATAGGCATCTTTTATGATAACTGACTCCCGAAATTTTGGAGGTGATAGACTTTTGTTTCCTAAAGTTACAAACAGGGAACAGATTATAGCAGATGGCCTGCTATTATATTCTGCTATAACATGTGAAGGGAAGAATAAAGGAAAAGCTAATCTTTCATATGCATAAAACCTTTCTAATTTCACGTTCAGTATGTTGGAATTGAGGCAGAGTGAACTCAGTCAGCTGTTCCTACTCAGCGCGTGCTCCAGACGAATACCCATCTTTCGCGGGGATAACTACCTTGGCACGACACCAGAACTTTAAACTTATTTCCTGGTTTGTGGCTTTTTACTTTTCAAACATGTTGTAATGCCTCTTTTGCTCCAGTGGACCAACTTAGCTAAACATTTCTGGTCCATAGAGTATATACACTATATTGCCAAAAGTATTTGCTCACCTGCCTTGACTCACATATGAGCTTAAGTGACATCCCGTTCCTAATCCATAGGGTTCAATATGACGTCGGTCC